AATATCTTAAGAAAGAATTTGAGATGAAAGATCTTGGAAAAACAAAACTTTGTCTTGGATTGCAAATTGAACATTTAGCAAACGGGATCATTATGCATCAATCTGCCTATACAGAAAGGGTCTTAAAACGTTTTTACATGGACAAAGCGCACCCATTGAGTACACCAATGGTTGTTCGATCACTTGAAGTGAATAAGGACCTGTTCCGACCTCCAAAAGAGGATGAGGAACTCCTTGGTCCTAAAACACCCTATCTACGTTCAATTGGTGCACTTATGTATCTTGCTAATGCTACAAGGTCTGACATAGCATTTTCTGTTAATTTATTAGCAAGATATATCTCTTCTCCTACTCGGATATATTGGAATGGGATTAAGCATATTTTGTGATATTTAAAGGGAACTCTTGATATGAGTTTGTTTTATGCTAACAAAGGTAGTGCAAATCTTGTTGGTTATGCAAATGCGGGTTATTTATCTGATCCCCATAAAGCTCGATCTCAAACCGGGTACGTGTTTACATGTGGAGGTACTGTCATATCATGAAGCTTCACAAAGCTGTTAATTGTTGCTACTTCTTCAAATCATGCTGAGATAATAGCTATTCATGAAGCAAGTAGGGAATGCGTATGGTTGAGATCAATGATTAATTTTATGTAAGAAAAATATGTTTTGGAGTGTGATAAAAGATCCATAATTTTATACGAAGACAATGCTGCATGCATAGCCCAATTGAAGGGAGGATTTATAAAAGGAGATAGAGCGAAGCACATTTCACCAAAATTATTCTACACACACGATCTTCAGAAAAATGGTGACATTGATGTGCAACAAATCCGTTCAAGTGACAATCCGGCAGATTTATTCACTAAATCTTTGCCAACTTCAACTTTTGAGAAGATGGTATACAAGATTGGAATGCGTAGACTCAAATATTTGAAACAAGATTTTCATTAGGATAGTAAAATACGCGATCCTTACTAAGATTTTTTCCCACAGGGTTTTCCTTATGAAGGTTTTTAATAAGGCAGCTAGAAATGTGTATTACTAAATATGTGTACTCTTTTTCCTTCACTAAGATTTTTCTCACTAGGTTTTTCCTAGTAAAGTTTTAACGAGGCACAATACCTTTTAATGAACATCTAAGGGGGAGTGTTATGAAAATAATTATATTGTGGATGTTCATTTATTACTCCGCTATAGATAATCTTCCTGAAAAAGATTATCCATTTAGTACCCTGTTGAAGTTTATCTACAAGCAGCTGATGCAGGCAAGTTGCAAGCAGCTCAATGAAATAATTTGCAGCAGCTTATTATTAAACAGGCGGGTTGCAAGCAGCTCATGCAGACAGCTTACAAGCAGCTAAAGAAAAGCCTTGCAGCTGCTTCCTTTCTTCTATAAATAGAGGAGTTTTCAGTTCATTATGTACATAAGTTTGAAGTTTGAACAATATATCAGTTTCTCTCTATACTTGTCTTTACTTTACAGTTTTTATTTTATAACAAATTTGAGTAAAGTTTGGTTTGAAAATGAAAATCTATTTGAATATAATTTTTCAAAACATATTTCACTTTAAAAAAAAAAAAAAACATGAAATGTGATTTATATTATCAAAAATACCTAACAATACCAAACAAACAAGGCAAAATACATAAGTTACCTCCTAAATTATAGACCAAATCCCTATTACACACGTTTTGCGGTCGAAAATTATATTACACACTCAACATTTTTAAAGTGTATCTAGTACACACTACTTTTTCTTTGACTAGTTTTTCAAAACATGTGTAATGTCACGCACCAATCAAACAGTGACATGTGTCATTTAAAAAATAAAATAACTAAAATTACAATTATACCTCTCATCTTCCCCATCTAAACTACCATGGTTGTCTTCCTCCTCTCTTCACCGTCAAACACCATAGCCTCTTCATCTACTTTTTACTTAATAACAAAGCCACCATTAACTAACAAAAATCACCAGAAAACACACCCAAAACTCCATCTTTTTCGCTGAAATTGAATCAAAAATTTTGAGCCCAGATCCAACTCATTTTCCATTTCACTTCTGTAAATATTCGACCGCCATTAACTGTCATCACCACAATTCAGCTATTTAAAAAATAATCCATTAATAAAATTAAATAATGTGCAAGAGCTTGAGCTAAGCTTTAATGGTTGGAAAAAATTTCGAAAAATTCTTGCTTCCGGAAAATTCGACTTCGCCATGGGTAAAGCTCAAGTTAAGCTTCTCTGCAAAAA